GATATCACATGGCCTATGATTTAATTTCCTCAAGGAAGAAATGACCTTGAGTCATCTCAACAAGCCAACAATATGGAAAGAGTTCTCTCCTTATAACGTTGAAACATAATTAACTTGATCTTGGCTTGAAAGATTTAATATGGTAAGTCTCATCCTAGCATCCATACTAGTCATCAATCATATTAATCCTATCATGCATACTATCAATAGCATAATACATACATCTCATAGATGACTTAAGGATCGATGAATGTTAATGGATCTTACTACTAGTCCCCTCGAGCCATAAGGAAACTAATGGGTCAAATACCTAAGTGAAAAATTATTATAAATTCCTCGGGATTATCTTCTCTTTTTGACTTCTTCTCTTTACTTCTATTCTAATATCCTATCTTCTATTTTTACATTTATTTGAATAAGAAACCTTGAATTACATTTGAAGGGAGTAAGATTAGAAAAGAAAAATATCGGAATGACGAGAGAAGGCGAGTCACACAAGCCCTATTGAACCAAAAATTACAAACATACATCCTCATAAACTAGGTTAAGTCATCCATACTATTCACCTATACTTCAATCACATTGATACATGGCATACTAATAAAGAACATTTCATTTTAATCATAATTATAAATCTATGTTGTACTGATTTTATAAAAAAAAATATTAAAATTTCTCTAAATTTCAATTTTAAGATATTTCGAACATTTGGCCCACTTTAGGCCTATGGGCTACCATGCTTTAGTTAGCTAGTGCCTTAGCATTAGCTAGGAGTTGCCATTAGCCTAACGTGCTTGCACACGTTTAATCGGTCGAGTGCCCCGTACTAGCCGGTTGCCCGTAGGCTAGTGCCCGACACTAGACTAGCACCAATTGGCTTGGCGCTTATGCACGTTTGGCTCGGCATGCGGTCTCAAGCACGCTTGCATGCTGCTCGGTGCATACACATGCCTAGCCTAGGCATGTCTTGCCCTTATGCATGGTCGGCGTGCGCTTGACACACACAAGGCAAGTTTTGGCCGAGCTATAGGCCTAATGTGTGCCCGGTGCATACCTACCTTGTCGCATGCCAAGAGCGTAACCGGTCCGTCCGGTAGGCTTGACGTCGGTGAGGCACACTTAGCATGTCACGTGCCCAACACGAGATTGGCTTAGCCGAAGGCTCGACGTGCATGAGGCATGCCCGGCCTATTACGCCACGCGGCCTCCAACTCACACGTGTAAGGGCCATCGTCTAACATTAGCCTCGAATGCAACCATTTATTTTTAAGCATAAAATCATTTTTAATTAATTATAAAATACCAAAACATTAAATTTATAATCAAGAATTAATAATTCATATAGTTAATCAAAATTAACAAAGCATATAATTAAATATTCAATAGAGGCTATGATACTAATTAAAAGGTCATGCATCCTATAGAGATGCAAAATAAAATAAAAAAATTCTCCATCTAAGGTTCCTAAGATTAACTCGTTGAATCAACTAATCATACATACATGAATTAAAAGTTTGAGTAAAGGATTACCTCTTATAGCACGATTTAACTTTTATAGAAATAGAACCGTCCAATTATTCGATCTTTATCGATAATTCATACAACTTAAACACTCATAAACGAAGCCACATAAATCATAGAGTGCTAGCTCCAATCCTCTTGTGTAGTTGATTTTTTTTCTAGAAATCCTATAGGGTAATTTGCATCAACGTTTGACCTTTTTATAGAGAGGTGCAATAACTAAGGTTTTTAGGATAAATCACTTTTCACTCTAATTTTTGCTGATGCCATGTGTGTCTTATTTTCTTGCCCTTATTTTTATTTTTTAGCTCCTATTTTTGTATTGACTTCCTCTTTTTTCCTTATCTATGTGATGTATCTCTCTTTTCTTATATATAAGGGAGTTGCTTCCTTGTCCTCTAAGGATAAGGAAGTGGTGGCAATAAGTCCTACAAGGACTCTAAGTTATGGGTTCCTAGTCCTTTAAGGATTAGGAGTTGTATTGTATGTAAGCTTGCCGGACATTATCCTTATAAAGTTTGATCCTTATCCAATAAGACTTAAGTTTATCCTTCCATCAAAATATCTTGCGAGCTTTTAAATTAAGCTATAGGCCCAATTAATTTGGACTATCCAAATAAATTATGTTAGATATTTTTAGGAAGCCCACATTAGGAAATAATTTTCCAAATTATCCTTAAACCTAAATTAGAAAACTAATTTTCTTTTTAGTCACTTACTTCTAAATTTGGAACCGACTTCTAAATTAGGAAACTGATTTCTAAAATAGAAAACTTTCGAGTTTTAGGAAACTTTCCACTATAGAAAAATTTCCAAAATAGAAAACTTTTTATTTTTGAAAACCTTTTCCAAAATAGTAAACTTTTAAAACTAAAAACCTTTTTCCAAAATCTTTTCTTGTCTTTTGTTACGTAAATGCTTAAACTTATGCGTATAACTCAAAAGGCTCCTAGTTATGTTGGCAATGTATCAAGAAGTAAATACACCTCTTTTATCTCTTAATACATAAATCATGATTGGCCTCTAACAAGGCATCATGATTACCCAATTCTCTTAGAATATTAATTAATCTGTAATTACTTTTTACAAGTATGGTTACCATTCAATTTAGTCATCATGTCAATTTATTACGAGTGTGATCTCGAACTTAGTTTATAGTCTATTTGATTATGATCATACAAGTTTTCTTCGATTCTCAAATGTCTTCATTCTAGAATAAACCAACTATGCTCTATTGGTTTTCTCATACTATGGCCACGAATTCTTTAAGCGGACATTTATCTATTGGTTTTCTCCTACTATGGCCACAAATTCTTTAAGCGGACATTTATCGAAGTACAATGTGATAACTCCTTTAGCATATAAGAAATGACGTCCTATTTTAGTCATCCACCTACCTCCATTAGATTCCTAGTGCACCCAAAGAATCGTCCATGTGCGACTCTTGACCGAGCCTATTAAAATGAGTGTCAAAGTACATAAATCATCTAATGAAATAATCATGATGACTTCAAGTCAAAGGACCATTTGTACTCATCTCGTATGAGATTTCTATAAACTAAATCAAATAAGTTCTCATGGCGTGTTAAATCCAGGTGATATGTTCTCTAACATTAATCACTTAAATGTCCGTTTTGGCATCACCATGTTAATAGGTGCGAGATCTCCTATCGTTATCTTATAGCATGAGCATAGCACTCACAAGTCTTACCGCATATAGTCAATGTCCATTTTTGGCAATGCTACGACTTAGAATATTTAATAATATCATTTAAGAGCATTAATATTTATCTCACATCTTTCGATCAATCATTGATGCAATAAATATCATATGGACTTCTATCTAATTCTATCAAAATATAACCAACAAGAATTAATAAAAAGACTTTTTTTATTAATAAAATAAAAAATACAATATTACAATAAGTCAAACCATCCAACTAAGGTTGAATCTTGAGCACCTACATTAATAGTTAAACTCTTAATGAATTCCATATTTTTTTATGAATGGTGTATGAATTTCGGTATACACTTGATGGAATCACCTATATGAGTGTAGATTAGGGTCGCTTTTATGAGATTCTTTGACAAAATCTCTAGAGCACTCAAGAATTACCAAGCGCGTGCATGGCCTATTAGCGCAAAGCTGCGTTAAACGAGTAGAGTTGTGGTTGTGTAATGTGAACGAGTGAGATCAATAATTTGCTACAAGGATTATTGGTTCATAAAAATTTTGAATTTCATCAATAATCTAGTAAATTAAGTCTTATTCATTCAAAGTCTAGTTCATAGCCCAAAAGGCACTAGGCTTAATGCATTATACTTAGTATAAACCTAGCAAATTCCAAAACTTATGAAAACCTTTTGAAATATGTAGAGGATTATTGTGAATATTTCAAAAGGTTATCAAAACCTTCCATCCCACATTGCTAAAGAAGAGGCATGAGATAACATTTTATTAAGAGAAGTGTATTATGAGCTTGTAAAAGTCAAGTAAGATGGATTGAGTTTGCACACAAACGAGTAGGGCCAAACTAAAGCATAATAGCTTATCCCCCTCCCCCTCCCTCCGACACAATAACAAGGCCTATTTGAGTTTTCTAACCTAAATTTGGATTTGTTCTCAAGTAAACTCCTATTTTTACTATCATAAAATAGGTTCATTATAACCATTTATTAGTTCAAATTTTTTGTGGTATTCTTTGATTTTACTCCACCATTGTCCCCACCTTTCTCTCACTAAACTAGTCTAAATTAGCTTATAAATACCACCTCTCCTACTAGTATTGAATACACACACAAAAATCCTCCTTTGCTTCATATTTTTTTGCTGGATTCTCATTATTTCTACTCTTGGTTTTAATTTCAGAAGGATTGATTTTATTCCAAAAGATATATCCTTAAGGACAATGATTACACCACTCTAACCATCGACTGTCCTTTGCCTACCTTCTTAATTTTATCTAATAATATATCGTAGTGAAATGACTGAAAACAAGAGAATAAACGTATTTCATAACATTGGACATCCAATGGCTATCGTCTCGTTGGGTGTTCCATTTCTGAAAGGCTTCAGAGTTTATATTTTTGAAAGGCTAGATTGGCAAGAGGACTGCAATTATTTCAGTACTACAAGATCAGTGTGATACATCCGAGTGTTGCTACAGGGAAAAAAATAAATAAATAAACCAACGAATCTTGATTTCTTCAATAATCTAGATAGTTCATTAAGAATCTTCAATAATCTATCTAGATAGATTAGTAAGAATTATGATTCAAAAAGCAGGAATTAAAAGTCACAAATTCTCATGTCTGACATTAAAATTATGCAGGGAATGAAATTTCATCAATTCTTGGCTCTTTAAGAGGGAAACGGCTTTTAATGGAATATGCTTTTGATGCCTTCAATGGTAATCTTCACTTTCATCTCTTGGTCTACCAAAATTTCATTTACTGTATTTTACACTAACCCTGAGCCCTCAACGACGCCAGATGCGACCTTGCTGCCTCTGTTCTTGCATTCGCCTGTATCGACATTTGAGCATGTCAAAATGCCATTCAAATAAGATTATATTGTGTACTCAATTACATCTCACATTGGGGTCTCAGCTTCTGAACGCAGAATTTCACAAAAAAAAAAAAAAAAAAAAAAAAAAAAACCTATAACGTAAAGTACCTCTGATAATCTTTAGAACGCTCAAGGAACTCTTTTCCTACATCCTTTCTTTCATAAGATGCCAACACCGTTCTGATATCAGATGGACTGTTGCGAGCAACATCTGCTTGCAAACCAAAATGGGGGATACATTTTATATAATACTAATAACAATAAAGAATTATGATGATGATTGAAACAAGGTAATAGCCTGAGGATTTACTCCAGGCGCAGTGTATAGAGCTTGATAAACAAGAATGTAAATGGAAGAACTGAAAGTATATGAGAGTCTATGCTTCATAAAATAAAAAAAACCCCATCAGTAACAGTAAGGGTTATAATATTTTTGCCTTCATTTTGGCTGTGTCTCTTCAAGACAAATGTTTATACCTTGTATGCAATGAAATCTAAGAATACAACTATTTCAATTCAACGAGGACAACCAAATGGACCATAATATAAGCACGCAAAAAGGAAATTCAAATTTACTTACACTCGAGAAAGGGAATAAGATCCAAAAGTGCTGTATCCAGTGGTATATCATCCGTTTCATCAATCTTAAATGGCTTAATTGGGACACAGTTTTCTGGCTGAAGGCTATTTTCAAATGCATGGCCACTCACATAGAGAATTTTACCTGGATCTCTATTAAGTTTTGAAAGATCCTGCAAACAATAGCTAACATTAAATACAGCTTGTCCATTTCACAAAAGCACAGTAAAAATAACATGAAGAGTCAAATGCCACAATGAAAATGAAAATAGCGAAAAGCTTTAGAGGCATAGCCAACATTACGACGTCTCATCAAATGGATTGAGGATTTTGAGTAGCAGCAGCACACAGCAATACAAAAGCATAATGTGAAATAGTAGAAAAGCGGCTGATATGGTCTATGGAATTATAAGGCTTCACTAAACCTTTCCAAACACTACAGTACTACACTAGCTTTTCAAAATCAACAATGGTACTCGGCTTTTCACAAAATTTAAGTTAATGAGTTGAACCCTAGTCCAATATCAGTCCTAAATTCAAGGGTTTCAGCTCTTATCCTCTAATTCGTAGACCACTTAACAGCACCTTATTTTTAGATCCATATCATTTTCATTAAGATTCCATCCCAGAATCCATCCGACCTGTAAACTTGAGCCAAGGCCCAGAGCTTCAACTTTTTTTCCCCTTATTTCTTTGGGGCTTCAGTTTACATCTAAATCTTACGAACGTAAGATAGAATTTCTAATTTTTATTTCCAAATTCATCCTTAGGGTGTGTTTTGGCATTGCAGTTCAGGATTGCAATGCAGTTTTAGGTGTGGCTAGCCAAAGATCCCTAATAATGCTTTGGCCAAACAAGTTAAACAACAATTCTAAACCCCATGATCTGTATTTGCAATCCAAAATCACCTTTTCAAGCACTCTTTATAACATCACACAAACTTGCAGCTTCAAATCTAGGACGTGAAAGTTTAATCAGCAATGGAAACTGACAACCCTGACTTGGATTGCTTCATATATAGACCGAATAGGCCCTTATTTAGAGTCAGACATGAGACTTTCTGGTTTACAGAAAGACAAGCAGCATAACAGTGCCAGTTGTAACCAGCTAAACAAATCCAAATTACAGACTTTTTTTGGTAAAAGGTCAATTGTTACCATAGCTCAAAAATCAAGCAAACTTGAAATGAACTTAAAAGTGACGTAATTCTATTTGTAAGAAACTTCTACATGTTCCCAACCACATCAATTTCAAATAATGCAAAACTAAGAAATACATGCCAAAGTAAAAAGAATGAAAAAAAAAAGCCCCAAAACATACTGAAAAATAAAATTTGATATTTTGAGAAATGACTTTGTAGACATGGTTACAGGATTATACCAAACTGGTTCAGTTTTGCAGATACACAATTCCATTTAATCGAACCAAACATTCTAAAGAACAGTCATGAGCTCCAATATAACAAAATCAAACCTAGATGCTTATATGCAATTCAGTAAGCAAGAACACCCTCAGAACCACACAATGTTTCCAGCCGGACAAGCATTAGGACCTCTAATACCATAATCAGGCCACATGCAGAGGAGAAATTTTGACTTTGAAACAGAGAGAGAAACAATCAAGGAAACAGACGATCATGTACAAGCGGCAAATGACAAATTAAAAAAAAATGGCAAAAACACCCTTAAAATGACATATATTTCAAAGGTAAACTCTAAAAAGCACATAAAAGAAAAGAAAAAACGAAGAGAAATGATATGTTGAAAACAATCAAATATAACAACATACTCTATAATGCTTGCCATCCTGATACTTCGTAGCACTCCTTGATAGCCTATATCGTATAAAGTGGTTTGAATCCAACCTTTCAACAACAGGATCGACATACTGCATAAGCCAAAAAAGGAAAATTCATAATGAGTGAATTGATGGATTATAAAGACTATCCAAAACTGGGAGAAGGGAGAAACGGGAATTGTATTACCATACTCAGCTGGTCAGAATACACAACAATTTCATAGAACCGTCCAAGGTGTTGCAAGAAGTCATCTACTCCAGGTCGTTTGAATGTTCGCCAGCCTCTGTCACGCTTCACACAGAGGCACAGAGAATAATATCATTACAATTTCACCAGATACAAATGTTATGTGCATATATACGTAAGAAGTGAACTGCAAGCACAGATAATTTTATACACTAAACATACAGAGACCAGAAAGGCAAAAGTAATCTCTCATTCCAAATTGGTTACTTACCAGAATAGAAGTGTTAAATGACTCTTATATAATCTTGCCAAACTCTCTTACAAGATTTAAAGTTATCATGGAACATGTTTGACAATACCTACTTCCAGTTAGGGCTTACCTTCCAATCACTATAAATTATAGTCTCGTTAAGATCTAAAACCAGAGTAAAAACATGTTGCTCAGCAGGATGCAAATCAGGAAGAAGCTTTTCTGAGGTTGGTTCAGTAAAACCCTGCATAACGCACACAGATTTCATGGTTTATAAAGGAAATAAAACGAAGATGTAATGGAACACATGACCTCATAACAATATTTGAACTCACTTTGACATGTTCTTCCAGTAGCCTCCTCAGATCCAAGTAAAGTTCTACTGCTTTAGCAGGAACTGAAATATAATAGGCAGACAAATGAAATTATTCTATTGCCAATGATTATCAATAGAGAAAGTATCTGCCACATACAGTAAACCAGGTGTGGAAGCATTGCTTAATTGCCACTGAACAGCCTGTAAACATGCAAACCTAACTATCAAAAAACACCAGCCCTCCATGGTTACATCTGACATGTGTATTTCAACATTCTAGATGTGCAAAATGTTTCTGCAATTAATTGGCTTGCGTTGATAACAGGAAAAGAAATCCAACAACTAATATAAGAGGATCTATCTTGAAATTTCAAACTATAAACTTGAGGAGGGGGGTGGTTTGGCAAAAATTAAGAGCTTTGACGAAAAACAATTTGGTAGTAGGTTGTAGAGAGAGAGAGAGTTAGAGAGAAAACTGGAGCGTCCCTAACACTAAGTGGGTAGTCCCATCCTTTGGCAGTCTGCAGACAGTTGAGGATGGTGGAAAAACGAACTGGCAACAGAATTCAGGAAAAAAAAAAACGCATTTAATGGTAGCTAAAATCCTTATGAAGATGCAACACAAAGCTTAGGACATGTACATGAAATACAAAGAAAAAAAAACACAATCTGATTACTGATATAGATAGAAAATAATTGGAGGACCACACCTGTCATAGCAGTGGAGTATAGCAAACCCTGATATTTCTGCACAAGGGAAAGATGGAAAATGTTAATCTTTTTATATCTCATTCTTTCAAGTATTTTATCTAACAGTGGCAGTCCAACATAAATCAGCGCAACTATGCCTAAAAACAATATTCATATGCCTCTCAACGCCAAATCTAGCTCATAACACACATGACATCAATTCAAAACAATCAAATTGAAAAGGAAGTTATGAATGGGAGCGAGCTACCTCAACATTGGACGCGTCATTACCAGCAGTATAGTTTACTGATTCTCTCAACGCTTTCATCTTCTGCTCCACTTCATCCAAGCTGTAGGCTGAAAGACAACCCAAAAGGTAAAAGAATAGAAATGAAATCTCAACTCTTCCGTTTTCCGGCGCATTTAAATTTAAATTAAGCAAGAAACTAATCAAAATGGGCAAGTTGAAACATTAGAATATATATATATATTAAAACAAACCGTAAGAAGCGTAGCCAGCAAAAGCAGTGGCTCCAGTGAGGGCGCCAACAATTCCATACTTGAAGAAACTCCACGCCTTATTCTCCGAACTACCAATAGCCTGCGCCGGTGCTTCCTCCGCCGCCGCAGCCGCCGCAGATTGATCGGATATAATTGATTGAGAAGAGATGATGGATTCCTTGTTTGCACAAAAGAATCGGCGATTAGATTTATTGTATCTTGATATGATTGATAAAATGCGAGATCGAAGAATTGTTGAAGCCATTCTGTTTTCTTTTTCTTTTTGAAAGGGAAAAAAAAAGAACTGTGTTTTGGGGTTTAAAAAGGGTTTTGGTCTGCGTGGATCTTTTTGAGAATGAGAGAGACGGAGACAGAGGCGAAAGTGGGGGCTTGGTTGTTTTATTTCAAGGTTTTCAAGCATTTAAGGGATGTGTTTAGACGCCGGTGTATCACGTGACTACTCTAGAATGTACAAAGCAACTCTGTTTGGCTACCGACTTTAGTGAAGTTGATATGTGGATCATTGCAATTTTTTTTTTCCCCTCTATCAATTGCAAGATGCGGGAATAATACAAATTTGAGAACAGGTACTTGTAACTCTCTATTTTAAGTCTCTTATAAAAGTGTTCTCGTTAAATCTTCTTATACGTTCTCAACATCTAAATGGTTTTTGCAAAATGGTAGTGTTGTGGATTCTTTTCTATAAGATTTAATTAAAAGAATTTTGAAACAAAAAGGTTTACATGAAGGTTGAAAAGGAGTATGCAGAACAGCTTTATCTTCTTGTTAGATTCTAAATTGGATGACTAAAAACATTAATAAAAACAGTATTTCAAAACATAAGCTAACTTTTACTTTTTATAATAAAAATTATAAATTTCAGAACCGAATGAAACTAAAATTGATAAATATTGTATTAAAGGTTCATATAAACAATAATAACACTAAAAATGAAAAAACTTATAGACACACGAACCGACGAATAAGCACTAATTGAAACTCTAAATATTGAAAGACGAGATATGCTTGTGTTGCAACGAAAGTGATCATCAAACCGGAGATGATCCGCCTATAATATTATTGATCTAAAAACCTCTTTAAATGTATATATGTTTGTATGAATAGTTTATTCAATTAATAAATGAATATTTATATAAAGTAAAGATTATTAAGTTATGCTTGCATAAAAGAATAAACTAATGTATGCATAATTATTATGGAATGTGAATGCATTAATGGGAAGATAAAGAAATTAATTAGAGGTTTATAATGTTAGTTGTTATGGTTACGTAATAACCTAGAGAGTATAATTGCAAAACCGTAGGATTATAATCGTAACAATTAAAAGTTTGAGCACTTAATTGAAATAATTAGAAAACTTAAGTGACCATTATAAAATTTAGAAAGGTTTAGAATAAGGACTTGATTATGAAAAATTGAAAGTTTGAGGATCGAAATTGAAGGAGCCAAATGCATCAATTAAATGTTTAGAGACTAAAATGTAAAATTATGATCCTTTGGGAGACTAAATAATTCGAGTTTGGAAGGATAATTCTAGCAAGAACAAAGCTGGAAAAAGAAGAAAATAAATAGAAAAAGTAGGTGGGCAAAATGGAAGGAGAAAGAAGAAAAATATTAAGGCAAAAAAAGAAAGAAATGAGAAAACTTTAGAAAAATACCTTAATTGCAAGAGAACCAAATGTCACATTCTTGGATCAATACTAAGGAAAAACTTTGCCTATAAATATGGCAAGAAGGATAGGAAGAAAGGAGAATTTGAAACCCTTAGAAAACACTAAGAAAAAGCAAACTAAACCAAGGAGAAATTTTCACGACCCCAAAAGTGGGCCATGATTGGCGCAAGGATCGATGGAACCACGAGGCCCACCTCGACTCAAGCAAAGTCGGGATACTAAACTAAACCTTAAATTATGATCGAACTTACACTATAGTTCTCAAATAAATATCACTCAAATCATCATTCTAATCAATATCATCATAACTTAAAGAAAATTTCTTTTATAACCTCAATACGATTCATATTTCGAGTATCCACAATCAATATTCATAATTAACTCTTAATACACCACCCACAAATATAACTTTAGAGCACATAAGATTACAATTTAAAACAAACATAGATTCTAAAAAATTACAAAGAAATGAGTCGCACAACTAAGGTGCCGACTTCACGAAAGACAACCTAAAAGAAGCAATGAGCAATCCCTCAATATCTTGTAAGACTAAAATAATGAGGGATGAGCAATCCATAACTCGGTGAGTAGACATTATATAATATGCCGAGGGAAACAAACTAAAGACGATATTCTTAAATCTATGTCAAAATGCAATGCTCATTACTCAAACTCCCGCATATCAAAAACACATCTAATATCACAAATCGAATGGTTTAAAATCATTTCAAATCAAATCGTCAAAGCATTTATACATACATATATCGTACTCATATGAAAACACATATATAAGTTTTTATACATTCGTGGGGTAATAATGTATCATTAGGTACGAACACCTAAAGGTCATGCCCCCGTGATCGGGTTTCTCGCATATTGGTTGACATTCAATCTAGCACTACGCCTCTCTACTAGATGAAGCCTCATATCATTGAGCTTAAAGGCTACCCCCTAGTAGCTAGGTTCCACAAGGTCTCGAAAATATTTTCGAAAACCAAACATACTTATGCTTTTTCAAACTGATATTTCAAATACAATGCATGCATTTTCAAAAGTTATACGGATACTCAAAATAACAAATAGAACATATTCAAGTTCAATTTCGAAAACAAATATCAAGATAAATAACATATTTGTCCAACACATAAAAATCTCTTTACAATTCCTATCAAATCATATATCAAGATAAATAACATATTTGTCTAACACATAAAAATCTCTTTACAATTCCTATCAAATCATTTTAATACCAAAACATTTCAAAATTTATGGTGTTCGTTCCCATCTAAGTTCTAATAGAATTGCTTCTAAATCATTCTTAAACAATGGTGCATGTTGAGTATAATTCAAGGAATGTAAAATACAATACACTATATAATATCCACTCATAGTATAATTGAAGGATCGAACGAAAATCAAGACGATTGGGATGAGATGAATGTCCCACTCCAAAGAATCTAGCATCACAAAATGATGTATCATCCATCAATATCACATAACAAGAAATAATCCAAATAATGAATTATTCTAGAATTAAAAATACAAGATTATCAAATAAAAACTGAATTGATTAGAAAGTCTCAATCCGATAATCTAACTTAATCATATGATCCCTAAATTGATTCGTTTAACCATATTCCACTACCAATCTTTAACTCGTTCCTTAAATAATCAACCACCATAAACCAATCCTTAATTTGATTAAATGATCAATTTTATTCTAATTCACCCAATGCTCATTTTATTAACTTCTAATTGCCTTTACATGGCTTAATTCCTCATATTCCCTAAATTATTTCTAATTTAAACCAAATTTCAGATTTATTACTATTCATCATTTTCAACCTCTCGATTTCTCAAATGCACTTAATTTTACTTCAAATCAACTCCATTCATCACTTACCCATGATAATTAAACATTGCTTAAGTCATCATAATCCTTTAGAATAACTTTTTCCCAAATGAATCTTAAAACTCTAACCTTAATCTAAGCAATTCCTTAAGTAAATCACAATCCAAAGTTACTCCAACTCAATATCATCATTAACTATACAAACTTTACAATTTAAACATTAATGGATTAAAATTCTAACCTTTACACTAAGCTCCTTAAATCCTAAATTCTTCCTAGTTCTTCAAGCTTCCCAAGCTCCAAACTAGCTATACTCCACTTAAATAAACTAATTTATGTTTTCTCTAAACTAATTTAAGAATTAGCTTAGGAATTGAAGTGAAAATAGCCCCTTATATATATATGGGTTATTACATTTCCCCCTCAAGAAAATTCATCCTTGAAGTTTAAGTCTATTCAAACCTTAGTAAATGAATAAATAAGGATGCTTTCTTTTCATTTCCTCCTCGCCCTCCCAAATGGCTTATTCGGTCGAATGGTTCCTCTAAATGACCTTGACGGATGCAATCTCCTTATTTCATAATTTCTTAATCCGATGGTCTATTACTGCGATCAATTATTCTAGATATGACAAATCGGAACTTAATTCCATCAATTATGATTCTAAGATATGATACGGGTCAAATACATATTTTCTTAACATGAAAGTATGGAACACCGGATGCACACTTAAAAATTATGATAGTAACACTAATTCATAAGCTACTCGCTTTAATTCAACCAATAATTTCAAATGGTCCGATATACATCGGGCTTAACTTTCGCTTCTTACCAAATCGCATTACTCCTTTCATCGGAGAGACTCGAAGTAATACAAAGTCATCAATTTAAAACTCCACATGTCTCTTCGTAGGATTTGCATAACTCTTCTATCTACTATGTGTAGTCCCAAAGTGTTTTTGAATTAACTTCACCTTCTTGTTAGTGAGCTGAATCAATCTAGGCCCTAAGGGTTCCTTTTCTCTAGCTTTCACCTAACATATTAGCAATCTACATTTCTAACCATACAATGCTTTATACGGTGCCATACAATACTTCATATGGTGTCATACCAATGCTAGTGTGATAACTATTGTTGTATAAGAACTCAATCAATGGTAAGTGATGATCTCAACTACCTTCTAGATCCATCACACATGCCCTTAACATATCCTCTAAGCTCTTGATGGTCCTTTTTAACTAACCATCCGTTTGAGGATGAAATATCATACTAAAGTCTAATCTCGTACCTAGTCACTCTAGTGCCTTCCTCTAGAATTCAGATATAAACTAAGTACCTCGATCTAAAATAATAGAGATCGAGTGTCGTCTAAGGACACTATCCAATTAATATACAATTAGGCATATTGGGCATACCTCATAGGTAGTCTTTACAAGCGGAAAGTGTGCGGACTTAGTTAGCATATCCACATTCACCTAAATAAATTCATACCCTTTTTTAGTTCGAGGCAAATCCATTATAAAGTTCATTATCATTATTTTCCATTTTCACTTTGGTAGTGGCAACTCTTACAACATCCTTGTCGGTCTTTAATGCCGATACTTTTCTTGCTAATATGTCAAGCACTATGAAGCAAATTCCATAATATCTTTTTTCATTCTAGTCTATCAATAATTCTCACAGGGATCCTTATACATCTTAACATAACCCGGATGCAT